ATATATATATATATATATATATAACAATCCTCCTCATGACTGTCCTATGGTTTCCATAACTTTTGATCCTAGTGCGTCGAGATCCTAGAGTCATGTCACTCTTTTCATTCCCACTGTGATTAAGAGTCATAATATGCAGGGGTTACAATGCTATGAAAGGCCATAACTCCAACAATAACACGTTGGAAGTGAGTTATCGAGCATTTCATTGCAGGATAGTGCAATTTAGTACAACACAAATTGTCCGTCTCCATGTGACTTGGACAATCCAAGTAAGAGGGAACCCCCCTGACTCCGATAGTGGATGTAAGAGTCTATGGCTTTTAAGTCTTTGCACCTCTGTTTTTTCAGATCTATGCGTGCTCTATGAAAGCAAGTGGGAATCTCCTCTAACCTTAGCCGGTTCGATTATTCTCTCTCCACCCCTAATTCTCTCTCTAGCTGTAATTCTCCTCGCATGTTTTACAATTGTGTGAATTTGTCTTCCTACATTGTATTTTTGTTGTTTTTATTCATGGATAAGAGATTTCTGCTACAATTTTACTTAGTTTATTGGCAAATAGTTTTGGTATCTATGGATTGTGGTATGTATTGCGTTATCCCCATTATTATTTATAGATATTGAATTTCAGTTAGGAGATGAGAGAGAATAAGAGAGGAATTTCAATGTGAACAATACAAATCTGCTTATTTTTGGAGATAGAGAGCATTTTGGGTAAAGAGTCTAATAAGAATAGGCCTGAGGTGCAAATTTATAGTTAGAAGAAGGCAAATGTGGAGCTTCTGGTGAGCGTGGGCGCAATCATGGTTGTCTGCCAGTTCCTCGCAACCTAGGTATAGAGAGGGGTAAGATTCAAAGAGTGAGAATGCGAAATATTGCCCTACTATCGGGCAGCTCTGAAGTAAACTGTTAGCTATTGCGGGACAACGCGGGAGAAAAATCAGTGAACGGCCATGGAAATGCTAGACAAATGTTAAAGAAGAAAAGGAAGAATATTACTATGCAAGAAGTTCCCCAATAACACCAATGCTGGACAGGTGGTGCAATTACAGAAAAACGAGGCTGTTGGGGGGAGTGGGGTGGTCGGTATAATATTCGGGAAATAATACCCTCTTAATGATAAAATGGAAGAAAATGTGTTCATACATATTTTTTCCAAAAAAGAATCTTATCTCTATATAATACTTTTATTTTTGTGTTTTTGTTGCGTTGGGATTCACCTGAGGAGGTATTACTGCAAAAGAAGATGGTGATGGAGGGATGCCCCAAAGACAACACTAGCTTACTTATAGATTGACTCCCTATCGCCATCCAACTCGTTGAGGTGAGTGGATGGTGATAGCCTTAATCTCCACATACTTGATGTGTGGATAATAACAACCTTACCAATAATTACAAAACACCACAAGTGGAATGGCTGGTAATTACAAAACACCAAGTTGAATGGACAAGGAAATCACTTGCACCCCCGACTGTGATCCTAGTTTGAATAAACTTGGTGCCCGCCAAGCCAGGGTGCCCGTGGACAATGATCACCCCACTTGTGACTATTATGGTCTACACACTTGCCCAACTAAGTATATTGATAGTCACTCCCTTGTCATGATCTAAACCCATGTCTCCCTAAGTCAAGCCATCCATAATCGAGCCAACCAAGTCATTGTTTGGATTACCATTTGTCCTCACCATCTTACCCAAGATCTCGAACCAAAGGTCTTTAGCCACTAGCCCACACATGCATACATTAACGCCGCACCATTTTGACCTCTCGCACACTCAAGACGGAGAGGGTCTCCCCTCCCTCACATACGGTCATCGGTCTAAAGAATTAGCGATGCTAGGAGAGAACTAACTACGCCAAATTAGGAAAATGTTTACAGCCTGTGTGAGAGCTTTTCGGAGAGGAGCCCGACATAGTTCTCGACCAATCTACAAGCAAAACTTAGCTTGCGTGCATTTGAGGCTAAGGAAGAAGTTATAACGGTGCACTGTTTAGGAAGGTTCATAGCTTTGCCCTAAAAAATCATTTGCACGTGCACGGAGGGCACCAGAAGCGTGCGTGCTTTGAAGGTTTAGTGAAAGGGCGGGAGCGAATCTTCGTTCCCTTGTGTGCTGCTCTACTCACTAACCAAATATGCGGAGGGTTATGAGAGAGGGTATAGAGAGTTGAGGCAGCACTTCTACTTATGCTTGATCGCTCCATTCTAGACGACAAAATGGCGAGCGTTGCAGCGGCCATTAACCAGGCAGCGCCCTCAAAAACCCTAGATTCATCTTTGTGGTGGGACTCCTTTGTGTCTCTTCTCACAGAGCTTGAAAACCTGTCGCCACCGGCGTCACATCCTCCCCCTTCGCTGGTATGAGCAGTTCATAAACCGTAAATTCTTCTTTTCTCTCTCTCTCTCTCTCTGTCTAAAATCGCTACCTATTCTCAATCTCGAAGTGTTTCCATTCCTCAGACGAAGAAGCTCGAGGACAATAAGGGATGGCTTCTTAACACTCTTGCCTTTTTTAAGCCACCAAGTGTGGAGTCAAGGTCTGCTTTGGACTCTCCAAGTATCGCACTGGGTTCGCATCGTGTGGTTATAAACACAAAATTGACGGAGGTTGCTCTTAGAGTCGGCTCTCTCCTGGTAATTTAGATGATTTTCCTTGATATTTTATGAGTTTGGTTTAAATTTTGGGATTAGTTGATTATTGTCAAAATTTCACATGATTGCAAACTTGTTAGAGTGTATTTCACGATTCATGGGAAAAGGTTTTGTGAATGCCCTGAATTTCACAGTAAGAAGAACATGTTTATGTGTATCAGTATTGTTGCATTATAGAGCAGCAGGTATTGCTATGATTAACTTACTTGTAAGACATTATTGTTTTTAATCAGATTTCAAGTTCACATATGGTTTTGTTCTTTTGCAGGATTTAAATGAAGTGCAAGCGTACATTTTAGTGAGTAGGTCCATTGAAGTCCATCAAGCGGCTGTTGACAACAAATTAGAGGCGTACCTACCTCAGGTTAGTGACTTGTTTTGCTTTTTGTCTTCCCTTGTGTGCTTGTCATTCTTTTGAAACGTAATGAAATTTTTATGAGCAAATAGAGATGTTCTTGCTGTTATTTGGGGTTGTTAGAGAAGAATTGAAATTTTTTAGTTGCTTTTGTAATTCTTTGTTTTATTTTATTGCCTTACTTTCATTATTTGTTGCCTTTCTTTTTCTTTTGTCCTGGTAAATTTAACAAGGGCAGTTTTTTGTGGAAACAACATGCAACAAAAAGATGCCAAATGTTGAAACTTCTACAGGACAATCAAGAAAGATGAAAAGCATAATTTTAATCCCCTGAAAACTTATAAGAAAGTAGCTAAAGGTCCAAATATGAACCCCTTCACGGTTGGTTGGTATTTCAATTACCACGGCATCATCATTATTTCATCAGCCGCTTTGGACCTTTCTAATTCTCTCAGCATCTCTCTCTCTCTCTCTCTAAATTCTGGCTATATCTTCTTTGGCTTCCATAGTTTCTTTTTGGATATTCCTCCTCTTCAATCTTTGCATGGACTTTTCGGGATCTCCCTCATGCTCAGAGGATGGATGGAGTACCGCTTATGCTTGTCCATTTTACTCATAAAGATGAATTACTGGTGGCTGTAAAAAGAGTGGACTATTCTACTAAGGCCTTGTGATTGCCTAAAGATTATTAGCCTTTGTGCTAAGATTTAATTAACAACTTGGAGATAGTGATCTCCTTTCATACAAATGTTTATAATACCGTTGGAATCATTTCAAGAGTTTCTTAGGGTGTTACAGTTCTATTTGACCTAACACATCCTCACTTTATTATTTTTGGACACCAGTAGTTGGACCATAGCTGTAACCTTGAATCCTGACTCTAGTCACACCCTTACAACTTGCTATTGCATACTAAGGTTGGTGGCATTCCAATAGTTGGGTGTCTCGGGTGCCACATGATTTCAGAGAATGATAACTTTTTCTGACTGTAAACCGATGATTGCAATTTCTTAATCAATTCTAAGCAAACTTGGTAATTTTTTTATCTACAAATACAAAATTTCAGACAATTATCTGATACAGGATGATGATGCTGAATGGTCCAAGTTAATTGCATAAGTATCTTAATCAAAGTCAAAGTGACCTTCAAGTAATATGCATATACTTATTTTCTTGAATTAACATCTGTGGGTGATTATTCCATAGAATCTGAACAGAGTATTCACTTCTTTTTTGTTCTCTCAGAATGATTGGCAAGTGCTAGCAGTATTGGGTATATCCTTTTGTTGCTCAATAATAGTCATTTCCTGTACATGTGTGCATTTGAAAAAATCTATACTATGTGTATATGCTGAATTTTATCTCCAATATTTTCGGATGTTTTTAGTTGAGCTATGTGGCTGTATTTTCCTTATTTTTCAAACCAGCTTACTGAAGATGTATGCAGTTTAGGTCCAATCAATTTCCATTAGACGTATGGCACTTTGATTGAATGGTTGAATATTTGGTTTGTGATTCTTTTTCTGCCTTCAAACTGATGGTTGCCCATTCTTTCTGCACTTGTTATAAAGATCATGATCCAGTACAATCTTGAAAGGCAATGTCTGCTGAAGTGCACTCGGCAGATTCTGCTGCATGCACGTAAGTAACTCCTCAATGCCTTTGTCATATGATGGCTGTATCTATATACTTGTCTTGCTTTTTATGTTGCACGCCTTTATGTTTTGTTGTCTTTGTCTCAATTCTTGTCATGTTTTTTTTTCTTATTCTTTGCTCTCATATGCATATGGACAATGTAGCTCTCGGTTTAATCCAATGGTTTTCAATTAGCATCTCATTCTAACTTTCAACAAAGAAACAAATGCACAACTTGATTGATTTGATCATCTTGAAGGACATTGATGAATGTCTAAGAAGTTGATTGGCAGTTCGGAGGCTGACGTCTTGGGTTGCTAGATGTTGGATGGGCTGCTGGGACTTTGATAAGCTTAAAGCCTAGTACTAGATTTCTGAGAGAAGCTGGAGACGTGTGCTTGAAGGAAAAGGAAGAAGTTGTGGTAGAGACCCCGGAGGAGGGGGATTATGTGGAAGAAGGTAGTGGTTCAGAAGATGACAGTAAGCAATGGGAGATGAAGATGGAGATAGTGAGTTGGATTGCTCCATAGATGTTGGTGATACTGATTTGTTTTGAAATGCAGTGAAATTTTGTTGAGATCAGTGAAATTGTTTGGTTTAAAGTTTAAACATTTATTTTGACAGTTTTACTTTATATCCAATAAGTTTTACCTATATGTATTCATAGTATCATGTTATGAATAATTAATGTGGCCGTGGTGTTTAGGTTTCACTTTTTATTATCTATTTGGGGTTGGATCAGATGGGCCACACGCATATAAATTGTGTATTTAATTTTCTATAATCATGATGAATATAATTTTTTAATCATCATTTGTATTTAATGGGCCATGAATTTTCTTTTTCAGTGATTAATTAATGAACTTTTGGAATTGAAAGCTCACCCTGTATTTCAGCGTTTCAATTTTTCTTTCCAATATGTACATATCAGAGCATGGGCAGTGATCCTAAATTATATTCCTTTGGGTTCTAGTGAAACTACAGACTGATAATGTCACATGCTATTTAGTAACAATGTTATAAGCCATTGGTTATAAATGAGCCATTATACTTGACATTTTCAATAAATTACCCAAAAGGAAATAATTGACATTTTAATAACAAATATAATTTTAGTATTTAATTTATATGTATATCTGATATTATGATATTACATGATATAATATTATATTATATATGAGAAAATTATGTAAGTCAAGACCTTAATGTAAAAACTGCCTGTCTTTCCCCTTTGCAACCTAGTTGTCTGAACATGCATCCCAAGTTGTGCATCTTGCAATACACCTGGGATGGCTTGCATCTGGTAATTACTTGTTCAATATGAGCACCTGGGTGGAATTTTAAAGCGCTCGTATAGTTAGGTGGTTCATTATTCAATTATTTGCTTTTCTAATGAATCTTCTTGTTTTGTCCTTTGATGAATTGTGCTTGTATATGGACTTGAGAATATGCTAATTGCTCTTTTTTTTATTTTCTCTATTAATAGCCTCTTTCCTAACTCCATTGTTTATTACAATTTGGTGTAGTATCTATTGGTAGTAGTGCCCCTGAAACCGATGCCATCAAGAAGTTTGCCATGGAGCTAGTACATGATGGCCTGGAAAGAACAGCATTTGAGACCCTCATGAATCTTCTCTCCTCTAAAAACCCAGAGCAAATGGTATACTTTCTGGAAGCAACCCATTCGCTTTCAAGCGAATGTCATAGTTTAAGCTGTTACTTAGTTTCCTTACATTATTGCGTGGCATTTTTGAAATGTAGCATGTTTTCTGAGAACTATTATGAGGTATACTTTAACAATTTAGCACAATCCATATCACTTGGGGATTTTTACTGGAAGGTATATTATGGTATTATGAACGTGGTATTATGAACTGTAAGGCTTCTACAGCTATGCTTCATTTATCCTCTTCTTGTGGTATGCAGTTACTTGTTAAATCCTTTCTTTGGTTTTATGATTTTATGGTGTTTTCTTTTGGGGCTCTTACTAAAATTCTTGTGCCTCATGCAATGATTGAAAAACATTTACTACATACATGAAGTCTACGGTTTTTTATTTAATTTGTAATAATTTTTCTTCTCTTTCTTTAAAATTGAGTGGCAGCAGCTGTGGTGGTGATGGTGCAACAGTAGTAGCGGTGTCTATGGCGGAGAGGCTGGGTTGTTTAGTGGCATCAGCAGTGGTGGTGGAGTGGTGATGTTGTGTTATAAGATGGGAGTTTGCCTCATAAGATCATTTTCTTAAACAAAATTGATTTGGAAACTGGCCTTTCCTAATCCCTAGTAATGCTATGGTTTCCCTACGACACTGTTTAAGATTGATATTTACACTGTTTATGTTTGATATTTACATGCCCAACAATATGTTGCCCAAGCACATCCAACAATCCTCTTTTTTTTTTGGCAACCTCTGTATTTCAAAGTTAGTGCAATATAGTTGCTATCCAAGCCCAGCATTGGGTAATGCTTGTGGGGGTAGTCTTGGTTTCCCGCATGGAAATGGATGCAGTAAGTGGTGTGTGAATCAAAATCCATGAACAACAACTGTCATTTACATATACATCTAGATGAGTGAAACATGGGATATAAGAAATGCTTGCTTCTTGGGGGCAAAATGTGTTTCTAGGTATCAATGGTATAATCAAGGTTGATCTTCGAGTTAAGTTTTATGGGGCCAGTATTTGACTGATGCACTTTATAGTGTGATCAATATAGAACCTCGTATTTTCTCGTGGTTTTCTGAATGAAAAGCTTGAAGAGAAAGAGAGAAGAGTGAATAAATGAAAGAATTGCGTGGAGGCCCCCTTGATCTAACTTGGGGGTCCTTGCATCTCTTTTTTAAATATGCCTATATGCATTGTGCAATTATGCCCTTGACTCTGATGATTATGTCAACATGATGCAAAACAAAATATAGAACAGCTGCAATTATAAATTATACATTTTCTCAACACACTCCCTCAAATTGTATGTCATGTACAATTTGTGTTCTAGAAAATGATGCCTTTCATTCATGAGTCCTTTGGTGAAGATATCAAGAGTTTGATTTTGTTGTGAAAGTGAATCGTATTTAAGTGAGTCCTCATTCTCTTTGAATTGTATTTATGTCCCTAAGGACTTATTTGTCTTTCTTTTCACTTAAGAAAATAGAAGAGATGTGCATGGAGGTCAGTTAGACACTGTGACTCTTCTCTTTTTCCCTTCTCTCTAAGTACCTCTCATCCTTCTCTTTCTTTCTGAACAATCTTTTGATTTCTCTCTACTTTCTTCTTTCCTTGGTTACTGCTGTATTTTTTATTTGGTATCAGAAGAAGGTTCCTTCGAGAATTTTCTTTTGAAACTATAAAGATGTGATTTGGCTGTGCGAAGGTCTCCGGAAGCCTTGTGGTTAGAAACCCTAGATCTGGAAAAAAGGGTATAGAATAAAAAAAAACCTAGTTTCATGGCTGCTTCATTGAGTTTTGATGCGGGATCAGAAATCCTGGATCTGGTTGGTATGGTTCGATGGTGTTAAAGGCTGTTGTCGGACCCCCTTAAATGGATCAGACCCTTGTTTATGAATTGTGAAACTGTCTTTTTGGAGATCTTTAGTATGGAAAGTCTTGGGCCCTAGTTAAAGTGTTTTTTGAGTGGCTGGTTGTGTTGATGAGCTTGTTTCTTTGGTGTTTCCAGGCTATGTTGTGGTCAATATGTCTAATATGCATTATTCGAGCTTCCGCCTTCTCTAGTGCTCCAAGTGTAACCTCCCATATTGGTATCCATGGGGATAACCTTGGACTGCATATTACTACTATCAAACTCAATGGAACAAGTTATTTAGAGTGGCCAGTCTGCAAAAATGTTTGTTGGTGGAAGAGGGAAGTTGGGGTGTACCAATGGTAATATTACTGAACCCAAAGAAACGTATCCTTCACATGATAAATGGGAAACTGAAGTTTTGTTTGTTACGTCTTGTTTTTTACACTTCATGCAACCGTTGATTACTGGGGTTTTATGTTACTTTGAACTAAGAAATATTTGGGACTCTGTACACTAAACTTACTCCAAAAGCAAGAATGCGGCTGAAGTCTACCAATTGAGGCGGGAAATTTCCATCTTTGACGGGGAAGATGTCTCTTGCATCATATTTTTCATTACTTCGTACTATCAGATGTTTAAGCCGGTCTGTAAAGTAGATGAAGAGAAATACAAAGAGTTTGGAGAACAAAATCATATTTTTGAGTTCTTGATAAGATTGAACCTTGAGTTTGAATTAGCTAGGGCTCAATTACTCAGTAGGGATATACTTCCATCCCTTAACCAGGTGTATTCTTTTGTCCAAAGTGAAGAGAGTAAAAAAAGTGTCATGTTGCCTGGTTAATTAATTGATCGATCTGCCCTTGTTTCGGCCTCATTACCTCCTAGAAAAAATAAGGGGGACGGAATTTGGAAATTTGGAAATTTGGAAAAGGAGGGCCGAATCATGGTAATTAAAAATAAGTTAAATTGTGACTATTGTGGTAGAAATCGTCATATTAAAGAACCTTATTGGAATTTGTTGGTTGGCAAGCTAAATCAATCGTCCAAATCAGCTTAATGCTTACAAAGCTTCATCCACTGGGAGTTTCACCGCTGCTAGTACAGATCAATCAATACAAAATGCAATCTAATCTTCACTTTCTACTCCAAAAGAGATTGTACCATTCCCTAAAGATGTTATTGGTTAGATGGCTCATCTTCAACCTCTACTTCAACCTTTGCACACTCAGGTACTCAAGCTTTTACTAATCATGTCTCTCTTGCTCTGTTTGGACAATCCTGAATTATTGATTTATGAGCATCAAATCACATGAGTGGTATGTCTTCCTCGGCTATTCTCTGTGTTTTGGTGGAGACAAAGTTAAGATTATTGATGGGACTATTTCGTCTATTGCTGGAAAAAGATTTGTAAATGTTTCTCCTCAAATGTCATTGTTATCAGTTTTGCATGTTCCTAGCTTTGCTACAAACTTATGTCTGTAAGTAACATTACCAAGAGTCAGAATTGTAGTGTGACCTTTCCTTCCTATTGTGTTTTTTGGTATCTAGATATGAGGAAGGCGATAAGCAGTGATCATGAAGCTGGCGCTCTCCAAATTCTAGACTTGGCAATTTCTTCTCAAGCCCTATAGTCCTGTTCTAGTGCTAATAAGGATCGAATTTGGCAGTGGCATCTCTGACTTGGTCTTGTGTCTTTTCAATCCTTACAAATTTTCCTAAGTCGTTTATTTCTATTAGTGTGTCTGAGTTTCAATGTGAGTTCTATGAGCTATCTAAACATTGTAGAAGTCTTATTTACCAAGTAATAATGAAAGCAAGGTTTCTTTAGTTATTGTTCATTCTGATGTTTAGGGTCCTCCACTTATTACATCTTGTTTTGGTTATTTGTATTTTGTTTCTTTTGTTGATGATTACTCTTGATCTACCTTGATACCTTTTGAAAACCAAATATGAAATTTCAAATGCCTTCAAGGTCTTTCCTAACATGATTATCACGCAATTTGATACTACAATTAAGGTACTTCGAACTGACCAAGGTGGGGAGTATCGTAGAGCAGCAGCCCTGTTTGGATGTGCATGGAATAACACTTAAAAATTCTCACACTTATATACCACAACAAAGTGGTGTTGTTGAAAGAAGGAATAGACGTCGTTTAGAAGTGAATAGTGCCCTTCTCTTCAGTATGAATGTACTTATAAGAAATTCTAGTATGAAGTTGTGCTCACTGCATCTTATCTTATTAATTGGATGCCATCATGAAGATTACAAGTCCCCATATAAAATTCTATTTCCTCATCGTCCACTGTTCAATGTTCACTCTAAAGTCTTTGGGAGTGTTTGCTTTGCTCATGTTTTGGGTCTATACTATATTGAATTGGATCCCAAATCTGTAAATGTATTTTACTTGGTTATCCATCTTCGTAAAAGGGTTACAAATGTTATGATATAGTGTCAAAGAAGAAATTATTCTCAACAGATGTAACTTTTTTGGAGTTCATTCCCCTCTTTCCCACCACTCTTCAATGGGAGAATAGTGTGAAGAGTGGTCCTCTGTTCCTCTTCCTATCCTTATTATTTCTGATTATAGAAGCCAGGATGACAGTGAGGGGCATTTCATGCTGCTGAAAATAAAGAATCAAGAGTCTAATACTCGACGAAAACAGAAGGAAGTGTAGACCGTCATAGCTGACAAGCATTTACACCAATTGTGCTCCTCTGATCTAGGTAATATCTCTATCCAACTAATTTCCAGACCTCAATGTGATGATTCTGATTTGCTCAGTGCGGCATGCAAAGGTAGACAAAGTTGCACAACACAGCCGATTAGCAATTTTATTTCTTATGAGTCATTGTCTACTTCCTATCATCTTTTGTGTATGCTACACCTTTTTTCTATTGCTTCTAGCATTATGGAAGCTTTAGCTTATTCCAAGTGGAAAGAGGCTATGTGCGATGAGATAAGGGCATGAATAAAGAATGGTATTTGGGAGCTGGTAGATCCTCCTAAACAAAAGAAGATGGTTGGTTGCAAATGGGTTTGCACGGTAAAACACAAAGCTAATGGTATAGTTGACAGATACAAGGCACGATTAGTTGAGGGGTTCACGTGGACTTATGGAATAGACTATTATGAGACATTC